ATTGAAGAGTATTCCCCACACCTAAGACCAGATTCTTGTATCTACCTGGTTACAGTGCAATTTGAAGTTTTTTTTTTTTTCTGGATGGTGAAATTTGAAATATTTACATTAATATAGGCAAAAAAAGATGCTGCTTTATTATGTCTGTCACCATGAAAACTTAGCTGCATCTTTTGAAATATCGAATATGAATTTTCTCTAAAATATTCTGAAATAGGTTAAATCTTATATAAATATTACTTTGTGCAATATTGTTGTGTAGTTAAATGCATATTAGCAAAGTATAGAGGTCACTGTGTAAACAGATAGAAAAGTAACCATCAGCAAATACTACAGTGATTAGTTAGAATCTGTATTATTCCTTATATATATGTATATGTATGTATTCTCTGTTACAAAGGATGAAGACAAATAGGGAAACATTTCAATGTAAACCATTTATGAATTGGAAGTGATGTTGGTTTTTAGTTATCTTTGTAAATAAGGTAATTAGAATGATATGAAAGGTAATGTGATTATTGCAGGAGTGTTTTTAAATCCTGTGTATAAATTCTAGGGTAAATTCTAGTTTATCAAGACTAGTTTTTAAGGGACCTTTGAGGGTGTTTTTGTTATTTTTGGGGGAAGGGGGTTAATCACAAAGTGTGTGGATTTGGGTTATTTCTTATTTTTATTTTTCTGTCCAGAAGAATTTCATAGAGCTTTACCAGGCTGTGCAAAAGTAAAATTCTTCTCAGGCAACATTTGCTTTTTAAAATAATCATGAAGAGCAAGGTTGTTAAAGCAAAAAGTTTTTATTTTTGTTTCTCTTGTCTTCCAAGATCCGATTTCCCCATTTCCCACTTGCCATCCAGCAGATGCCATCTGTCATCTAAGCTGGTCATTACTAATAAACAAGGAGACTGTCTCCTGACAGCCAGCACTGTGTGTAATCACTCAGGAACCAGCGGATCTGCAAAGACCTACAATCAAAAGCAAATCCCCGTTTTCCTTTTATAAAATGTTCTACCCTCACCTCCAATATAAACACATTAAAGAATATAAAAAATGTTTAAAAATCATGTACTAATAAATTCATTGTATGTTAGAATTGCAATAGAATGGAGAGAAACATTTAGCTAGTAATGTATCTGGAAACTGAATGTCCTATGTGAGTATTAGATTTTGATAGCATGCTTTAAAGACTGATGAATATAAAAGCAGAAGTTTTAAGTTTCTTACTGCTTTCAAAACTGTATCCTATTTTAGTGATACAAATGATTGCAATTTTCTGAATCATTAAATTATTTGGTTTGGTGGAGTGAGGCATGAAGCAATCTGGCGTCTTCTGATTTGTAAAGTAGTGATGGCAGTGAAGTTGTAATTGAAATTTAAGCTGAGCTTCCTTTTTGGTATATTATCCTTTGTGCCAACTCTTGAGATTACTTGCAGAATGTGGCTATACATTTTAGTACTTTGTGGAGTGGAGGGATATTTTGAAAATGTGCTTATAGAAAAACCTAATAAATGAATATTCCTAACAGTGAATAGAATGATTTTATGGTATCTATTAAAAAGGATAAAAGTCTTCCCCTTGCCCCAGAAATCATTCTATAATTACCAAGATATGCTAGGAGTACGATTATGATTTTAAGTGTTATCTCAAATTCATAAAGCAATAATAATAAAAACCTATGTATTAGTTCCCTCCTCCAAAGTTTTAACTCTTTTAAAAAATATATCCCTAGGCTTAATTGTACTTTTAATTTGCTTATTTAGTACTTAAAATTTGTTTAACTGTCCATCATTTTCGATTATTTTGGAAAGTGCCCTGTCCCCACAGAGACAGTGGGACTATTGGTTGACTAATATTACAAGCTCTTGTAGGGGGAAAATAGGGAGCTTATTAAATGAAATTCTTTACTAAACTTAGAAAAGATATCTTGCATCATCAGTCTTAATAGGCATTAAGGTTATAAAGACTGGAGAAAATTTTGCTTATTGCCTTTCCCTGTATAAATATTATTGTCTAGACTGAAAGATAATATAGAAAACAAGACTCCAAAATCCATGGAAATATATTCTTAGTGAATATATTGTTGATCATTAATATAATCCCATTATATTTTCATCTATATTTGCCATTAAAATTTATTTGCATTTATACTTTTAGGATAATTGAGTTTATGTCTTCAATAAGTCTGTTTCATCATTACTACAGGTTTTTTTAAAAAGAACCTTTTGGTAGCACATGCCAGAGGTTCACATTTGTGCTAAGTTTTATGGTTTTAAAACAGGTTGTAGCTGTATTTATTGGTCATGCGAGTAAGGAAATGCACAGTACATGTTTTTCTTAAGTGCATAAAGGACTTGTCCTCATCTGAAAGTTTTTTGCTTTAAAAGCAAGTATCTCTCCATAAATATTATGCCCTTCCATTTTCTTCATAAATTTTTTAAGATCCACTTGTGCATGTAGTTGAGACCACTGTCTCTTAAAATATAGCACTTTTCAATTCTCTCTAAAGAAATACTTATGTACTACTTCTATCACATGTTGTAAATTTTCATGTAATAGTGTTTCTGTGACTAAACTCCATTTTGATTGGCAGCTAAGACTTTTTTTCCTGTGGCTTTAATTTATCTAAGAGGTCTTTGCATATAGATGAAATGTATAATTTGCCTGGCGGACTATTTGCGTTGTGTGGCCTTAGTTTGTTTATTGACATTAACAAGTGTTTTAAAAGGTTTTTAATGAATAGTCTTAAATCTAAATTTGTGTGAATAATAATCCTTTTAACAGTGCTTTTTTGTAGCTGTCTTAAGTGTGTTAAATTGTTAAGCTATTTCTTTGTAAAATAGGACAATGGAATGCATAGTTTTTTTTTTCCTGTAAAGTATTTTTTTAATAAACAAAGTCTGATTTGTCCTTTACTTATGTTTCACCACAAAATGAACAGCACATGTGAATTCTAGATACCTGGACCATGTATTTATAGTACTGACACCCTTCCCCCTTACCCACCCCAACCCCGCGCATTACACACACTAGCTCTATTCTGTAGTATTATTCATATTTTTTTAAAGGAAATCTTGGACTTTTATTTTCCCCCCAAAAGGTCATAAATATTAGGAGAAACCCATCTATATTGAGATGAAGAAAAATTATGCTTGTGATGTGGCAGGACTCTTTTGCTTGAATTGGTTTATATATATTTATTAGTTTTTGGTACTGGGGATTGAACTCAGGAGCACTACCACTGCCACATCCCCAGCCCTATTTTGTATTTTATTTAGAGAGAGCATCTCACTGAGCTGCTTAGTGCCTTGCCATTGCTGAGACTGGCTTTGAACTCAATCCTCCTGCTTCAGCCTCCTAAACCTCTGGGATTACAGGTGTGGGCCACTGTGCCCGGCTGGTTATGTATACTTATGAGAAGACAATCTTAGATTTCTATTTGTAGATGTTTTTGAAAATGCCTGAAGACAGTGCATAGACTTTTCAGATGAGCTGTGTAACACGAAATGGTTTTTTTTTTTTTCCCCCATCGATGTTTGTTTGAACTTCTCTTTAATTGTAGTCCTAAGCACTGATAGCTATTGGTTCTGATTAGGAAAGGAAATTGAGGGGAATGTTTTTGGAGTAACTATTGTGGGCCAGGCACTTTACATGAAGTTATCTCATTTAATTCTTAGATTTTAGTAGAAAGTTAATTAACTCTGTAATTACAGATGAGAAAACAGGCTTGTTAGGTTGAATAAATTGCCTAAAATAACACAGTTCATATCAAGGATTCGAGTGCAGCTCTGGGTTCAAATCCCATGCCTTATGCAGGTCTGCAGCCTTTTAAAGCATTGAAAAGTTTCTAACAGGGTTACCGAAAAAATGGTTTGCTACTTGATTGTTTCCTAATTCCATTTACCTGATTAAGTTTCTCCACTCCTCAAAAAAACTCTTGTGAATGCTAAACAATGAAGTAAACTATTATTGCTATTAATGTTATTTAGGTCTTAAAAACAAATATGAATCTTTATTATCTTTTTTAGTTAAGCCTTTTGCCTTGAAACTAGACAGAACTGTTAACACTCAACTCTAAGGAAGGGAAAAGCTGACAAGAGGCAAAAGCAGTAGGAAACCATCACCAATGCGCTGGTGAAATAATTTAAAAAGATTAGTCCTGTGGGATCTTATTCCTTAGTAAAATGGAGATAACTTTCATTTTTACACCTATTGAACAGACCATAAGAACATCTACACAATGTTTAATACAGTACCTCTTAGGCTTTCTCCAGTGTTAGCTATTAGCTTTACCTGCCTCAAATGCTCTGTGCTGGAAATAGGCAAAGAACAGAGCTTCAAAAAGAGAATGGCCCTTAAGGGTTAGCTATTAATGGCAGGTGAGGAAAATAGATGGGGAAGAGGAGGAAAGCTGCTTGAAACCCTACCAGCATATCTACATACTTAAGGATGCAATCGTTCTTTCTGTGACCTTTATCAAACTGCTTGAATTTTTAACCTGCCGCCACCTTCCCTAATTCTGGAAAAAGCCTTCAGCAGATTCCTAAACCTGTCTCTTCCCTAATCCTTGAGCACCAGAAAACAGCAGTTGAGGGGCTGCAGAGGAAGACAATCACCGAGCGGAAGCCTGTCGGGCTCTGCGTCCCAGGGCAGCGTACGTTCACAAACATTCGTTCATTTAACAAATGTGCAAGGCTTGTGTCAGGCCGCAGTCTGACCTCGCGGAGACCGCAGTCCACTGGCGAAAGCCGGTATAAGCCATGAAACAAACGTAAGTACTACAAATACACGAACTGGAAACCTAGAACATGGGAACCGACTTCCCACAGATCCATGGGTGGGAAAGTCGTTTTTGAGGAAATGACTTTTGAGACTTGAAGGTCTTGGCCACGGATCCAAGCGTGGCTCCGCAGTCCCTCCGTCCCGCCTCTGGACCGAGGCTCCGCAGGGAGGCCGGGCGCCGGGGGCGGAGCCACCGCGGCAGCAGTAGCCGGAAAGCGGAAGCCCAGGCCAGCGGCGCTGTGCTCTGCAGAGCTGTTCTCGCCCAGCTTCCCGCCGGCTGAGTCACCGCCCCGCCGGGCCGGCCCGGCCCAGAGGGGACGCGCGCCGTCGCCGCCTCCTCCTGCCGCTCCTCCTCCAGGGCCCTGGGCCTTTGCACCTGTCTTTTCCAGCCCGGCACCAAAGCTTTTGCCGTTGCTGTAGTGACTGGCGGCCTAGCGAAGGCCCTTCCTTTTTTTTCCCCTTCATTTTCCAGCTCGTTTTTTGCTTATTTTATGGCCCTTCCGGCGACCTCCTAGGTCGGGCTTGGAGGTGCGGTGTCTGTGTCAACAGACTGCCCTCCTCTGGGCGCAGGGCGGCCGGCTGCCTCCGAGGCTGGGGCGGCCGCCGCGGTCTCCATGGTAACGGCCCCGCCGGCGTCTCGGCCTCGTGGGGAAGATGCGGCCTGCCGGGCCCGCCGCCTCGCCCCCGGCCTCACGGCCCGGCCGGGGCCACTGAGGAGGAAGGTCCCGGCCGCCGGCCAGCCGGGCAGCGAGCACCAGGTGAGAGCCCGACGCCGGGGGTCGGGGACGGGTCAACTGCGGCGATCTCCCCTCCCTCCTTCCCCTGCCTCCGCCGCCGTGGACACCCTGGCGCAAAGTATTGCAGAGGATCCTGCGCGGGTTTGTTGTTTGGGTTCCTCTCCGCTGGCAAAGAGCCAGAGGAGAGACTGCGGTTTATTGGAGAGACTGAGAAGTAGTTTCAAGTCTACCCAAACTGGGAGAGTAACCTTCACCCAAGGGACTCACCGACTGGGTTTCCTTCATTTTCAGTGAAATCCCACTCTCTGGCTGGAGACACAGATGGCCTCAAATGAGAGAGATGCTATATCGTGGTATCAAAAGAAGGTAATATCAGTCATTTTAATTTGTGAAGCATACTTCCTGCAGAAAGCTCCCCACAAAGAATATCATGGTACTTTCCCTGGAGTTTGGTAATGCCGGGTATTCTTACAGGGCATCTCAGCACAAAGGGGAAAAATTGATGTACAAGGTCATGATAAAACCAGTTCCAAGTCTCGGGATAAGATTTTCAAGGCACCATCTTTCTCCAGGCTGCACACACAAGCCACAGCAATACTTTGAAAGTTTGCTTATGATTAACCTTTTTTTTTTAAATTTTATTTTTTTTCCTTTTTTAAACGACATGAATGAAGCCTGTATCTGTAGGGCTCATATCGGTACTATTGTCTTATTGAGCTGTCCCTTATCTTTTATTCCTCTCTGGTATTCCTACTGATGTTTTCCTTAAGAATTGGAAATGTCTTTGAAGATAATATCTAATTTGAAATATTTTGGTTATTGCTTTTTAACTAACGTTTAGATGCAGCTGTTAAAAAGTTTTGAAGGGAGTAATCCTTAAAAGCATTAATTTAGCCAGGCACTTGGCAGCATGTCTCTGATCCCAGCAACTCTGGAGCTTGAAGCAGGAGAATCCCAAGTTCGAGGTCAGCCTTGGCAATTTAGTGAGACCCTGCTCAAAATAAAATTTAAAAACAGGCTGGAGGTGTAGCTCAGTGGTAGAGTGCCTCTGGGTTCAGTCCCTGGTACCACACATACACAAAAAATACTAATTTATTCTAATTCTAAAAATCATAAACATTTTCTAAACATCATAATGATACTTAATAGATTCATAACTTTTGAGGCTTGACTTTAAATACAAGGATTGCCTGCATCATTTATAAGCCTGCTCCTTATTTCAGATTGGAGCATATGATCAGCAGATATGGGAAAAGTCAATCGAACAGACTCAGATTAAGGTAAATTGATTTCTTTGATTCTAGCTTTATTTTACTGCATTAATGTGAAAAGTGGATATTTTTTACTTTTAAAAAAATTTGCACTTATCCACCAAGTGTGGTATTCTTTAAGTTTATAAGAAAAACAATGGAGCACGCCTAATGATTAAATGACTGTTGACATGTGACCTCAGTAGCAAATCTCCCATATAAATGGGACTATGGTTACTCAGCTCTGGTCAGTTTTTAATACATGGCAATTCAGGTCCAGTATTGCCAGAGTGTCAGATTTTTCAAGAGAAGCTGAAAATGTGTATTTTTAGGTGAAATATCCAGAAGAAGGTGGTGGTTCTCTTCCTCCTTCTCCTCTTCCTCCTCCTCTTTTTCTTCTCTGTCTTCTTCATCATCACTGTGCAAGCCAATAAAATCCCTTTTTGGCCTGAATCCAGCCTGTGGGCACCCATTTTTTTGATCACCGGTTTAGAGTATGGCATTTAAGTTTTTCAGATTCTTAAAAACTTTTTTGTACACTATTCTTAGAACTGAGCAGATAGATTCTTATGTTGTTTTGTGCTAATGAAGAAAAACTGATGCCAGTTTATTACTTTTTAAAAGGGGAGAGAAGGGCTTAAATAATCTAATATATCAAAGTAATTTAATATACCAAAGTCATTTTTGTCGGGCTAATGACGAATATTGATGCTGGTGCAAATTAGTCATCAAATTGTTGCTTGGTAGCCAGATGGAATTGGACAGTCTAAATGGGGGAAAGCTAGTTCTCCAAAGAATGTATCTCTCTATTGACATTATTACTTAAATCTACATATTCAGAGTCTTGCTTCCAGATTCTTGTTTTTGGATTGTGTTTTAAAAGGTTTGTTGTAGACCCTTTATTAACACTTTTTAAAAAAACGGATAAACGGGGGTGGGGTGTGGCTCAGAGGCCTAGCATGTGTGAGGCACTGGGTTCCATCCTTAATGCCACATAAAATAAAAATAAAGATATTGTGTCCACCTACAACTAAAAAATAAATATTTTAAAACAATGGATGGATATGACTTAATAGTATACTAGGACTTTTAAAGCTCTTTGGTGAAGTGCATTTAACCAACACTTAAGTGCATTTCTTCCTATAAGCCAATCAACTAGAAAACTGAACTACATGGTACCCGAGGCTAACTTCATAGTTTTGTAGAGGCCTTGATTATATTAATGGGAGATAGGTTTATGATTGATAAAAACATAAATTTTATTTTATAACTCTGTAAGTCTTATTCTATTATTTTGTGAGGCTACATAGTAACAATAAATACAATGTAATGGGAAGAGCTTAGAGCTGGGTGTTAAATTTTTGTTTTGTGACCTTTAGCTTTGTGATCTTGAATAATTAACAGTAGTTTGTATGGATTTTGGGTTCTTATCCTTAAAAGGGTTTTACTTCTTGCTATGGAGTAAGGAACCTCTTTTCCCTACCCAATTTTCATTTTCTCATTTGATACATATCTTCCTTTTGTTAACCTGTCTGTGTTCATAGTCCTCAAAGGCAGGAATTATGTCTGTATCCCTCACTTAGAAATCTTGATTCATACTAGGAACTTAGTGTCTATTTCAGTATTTAATTGATTTCCATCCATTGTTGTGCATATTTTCATTCATTGTTTTCTCATAGGGTAATCTAACATCTCCTTAATGTATACTTTTTAATCTAGCAGCAGTGGAAAGAATGAAATTAAAGCCAAAATAAAATTTTACTGAGCTAATTAATATGCACACACATACCAGTTGCTAAGAATACAGTGAAAAAGATATATGGGGTTCTTGCTTTCCTGGGTTTCACGATCTAGTGGTGGTAGGGAAAAAAGCCAAGATACTTTTAAAGTGTGTTTAGTTAGGTCTTAGGAAAAAATTGACCAAATTATAGACTATTTAATGTAATTTAAAGATATGTTCATACAGCTGGGCATGGTGGCACATGCCTGTAATCCCAGCAGCTTGGGAGGCTGAGATAGGAGGATCACAAGTTTGAAGCCAGCCTCAGCAAAAGCAAGGCACTAAGCAACTCAGTGAGATCCTGTCTCTAAATAAAATACAAAATAGGGCTGGGGATTTGACTCAGTAGTCAAGTGCCCCTGAGTTCAATGCCCGGTACCATTTTATGTGTCAGCAGAATCTATGTCTACATAATGAACAACAATACTCATTTTTTCTTTTCATGCAATTTGTGGTAATTTTCTTTCATGTAAAGTGGGAGAGAGAGAGAAAGCAATAAAATTCTGGCCAATCAAATACAAAAACACATCAAAAAGATTGTGCACCACAATCAAGTGGGATTCATTCCACGGATGCAACGTTGGTTCAACATACGGAAATCAATAAATGTAATTCACCACATCAATAGACTTAAAGATAATAATCATGATCATCTCAATGGATGCAGGAAAAGCATTTGACAAAATATAGCACCCCTTTATGTTCAAAACACTAGAAAAACTGGGGATAACAGGAACAAATCTCAACATCATAAAGGCTATCTATGCTAAGCCCTATGCCAACATCATTCTAAATGGAGAAAAATTGAAGGCATTCCCTCTAAAAACTGGAACAAGCCAGGGATGCCCTCTTTCACCACTTATATTTAACATAGTTTTTGAAACACTGGCCAGAGCAATTAGACAGATAAAAGAAATTAAAGGGATACTTATAAGAAAAGAAGAACTCAAATTGGCACTATTTGCTGATGATATGATTCTATACTTAGAAGATCCTAAAAGTTTCACCAGAAAACTTCTAGAACTAGTAAATGAATTCAGCAAAGAAGCAGGATATAAAATCAACACCCATAAATCAAAGGCATTTCTGTAAATCAGTGATAAATCCTCAGAACTGTAAATGAGGAAAACTACCCCATTTATAATAACCTTAAAAAAAAATACTTGGGAATCAACTTATCGAAAGAGGTGACAGATCTATATAATGAAAATTACAGAATCCTAAAGAAAGAAGTCAAAGAAAACCTTAACAGATTGAAAGATCTACCTTGCTCTTGGATAGTCAGAATTAATATTATCAAAATGACCATACTTCCAAAAGCACTATACAGATTTAATGCAATTCCAATCAAAATTCCAATGACATTCCTCATAGAAATATATTTATATAATTTCATAATTAGAAAATCCTAAAGCATCTACCAAAAAATTACGAATTGATGAGTTTGGCAAAGTCTTAAGAAACAAGGTCAGTATATGGAAATCAGTTACTAGCAGTAAGTAATAAAAAAAAATGCAATTAAGAAAACAATCCCACTCACAATAGCTTCAATGAGAATAAAAATACTTAGGAATAAGCTTGACATAGAAAGTGAGGACGTATACCCTGAAAATAAAACAGTGTCAGAGAAACTGAAGATCCAAATAAATAGAGTAACATTTCATTTTCATCATCTAAAAGACTGAATACTATTAAAATGGCTAGTCTCTCCCATTATATCTATATGTGCAATATAATCCCTTCAAAATTCTGGCTGTATTTTTTATTTTTGGTAGAAATTGATAAGCTAGTATGGAATGCAAAGGATATAAACATTTTTTTTAAATGTTACAGAGTTGAATGATTTACATTATGTAATCTCAAAATTTATTATAAAACTGTAGTGATCAAGATAGAAGGTATTAGTATAAATAATAGATTGATGGAACAGAATAGAAAATCTAGAAATAAATCCCTGCTTTTTGGAGAAGTTGACTTTTGACAAAGATGCCAAAGCAGTTCAGTGAAGGAAAAAGAAATTTTTCAATAAATAGTGCTAGAACAATTGAAAACCAACAATATAAAAATGAACTTTGACTCTTACCTTATACCATATACAGAAATTATTTAAAAAGGATTATAGATTTAAGTGTAAGGACTAAAACTGTAGATTTTCTAGAAGAAAACTTTGTCACCTTGGTATAGGCAAGAGATTTCTTAGAAACACATCAATAAAAGAAAAAAATTGATAAAATGGATTTCATCAAACTTGAAAACTTTTTTTTAAATGTATTATTATTATTATTATTTTTTAATATTTATTTTTTATTTTTTAGTTTTCGGTGGGCACAACATCTTTTGTATGTGATGCTGAGGATCGAACCCGGGCCGCACGCATGCCAGGCGAGCGCGCTACCGCTTGAGCCACATCCCCAGCCCCTTTAAATGTATTATTAAAAAAAATGAAAGACAGGGCTGAGATTGTGGCTCAGTTGTAGAGTGCTCGCCTAGCACGGGCCAGACCCAGGTTCGATCCTCAGCACCATATAAAAATAAAGGTATTGTGTTGTGTCCATCTACACCTAAAAAATAAATATTAAAAAAAAATTGAGAGACAGTACAGGCATGGTGGCATACACTTGTAGTCTCAGCTATTTAGGAGGCTGAGAAGCAGATGGATTACTCAAACCCAGGAGTTCAAGATCAGCATACGCAACACAGTGAGACCTTGTCAAACAAAACAAAACAAAACAAAACAAAAGCTACAGTCAAATCCTGCACATACTGGAGTGTCTGTATCCAGAATGTATGAAGAACTTAGTACCCTAGTTTAAAAATAGGCAAAACGTTTGAACTGACATTTTTACCAAAGTAAGTAAATAAATAACTAATGGTCACATGAAAAGATGTTCTACATTATTAAAGAAGTTATTAAGGAAGTACAAATTAAAACCACAATGAAATGTAACTATACTCCTGTTAGAATAGCTAAAATTCAAAAGATCGACCATACCAAGTGTTGACAAGGACATGGAGAAACTAGGACTCTTGTATACTGCTGGTTTGCATGGAAAATGGAAAATAGTTTGACAATTAAATATATACTTCCCATATTACCTAGTGTTTTCACCCAGGTACCAAAGTAAAAACAAACACATGCAAATGCTCATAGAACTATTCATAATAGCTGAAAAATTGAAAAAATCCAGATGTTGATCAACCAATTAATGGATAAATTGTTATATCCATAAAATGGAATATATTTCAGCAA